CAGAGGACACTAACACGGAACAAATTGGGTATCACACAGCTGAAATCAACGAATCAAGAGCTTCTGAAAGAAACAACTACAGAAAGGTATAGAGGAACTCAGATTGGAAATGAAAAAAGAAATTCCTGAATTAATGGCATCTGTGGTAAAGAATCAAATGCAGAAATATATAGAGGAAACCCAATGCCCACCCAGAACAAGTGTAGAGGGCACTAGCTAAGCTCAAATGTATGAATTAATAGAATCAAAAGTAAATAAGCAACAGCAAAAAGTTATAGAGGAACTCAGAGCAGAATTATTTTCTGAAATAAAAAAGTATTCTTTGAACTAATAGCATCTGAGTAAAGAATCAAATACAGAAACAAAGGGAGGAAACAAAATCTAAAAAAAACCTCTGCAGTAAAAGAATTAAAAACTGCTTCAAAAGAAGACATCAATATAAAAAAATACAGGAGATTAGAAAAATTGGGGCCAGGGAGATGGTTCAGTGGAATAAGTGCTTCCCTGGCAAGTGTAAGGGCCTGAGTTCAATACCCAGTTTCCCGCACCACCCAAAAAAAAGAAAAGAAAAAAGAAAAATAACGGATTCCTTGAATGAGCAATACAGGAAAGGAATAGATAGCATGAAGCAGAGTCAAAGAGATATAGAGGAAATTAAAATCTCAATCACAAGCTTCCAAAACCTTTTGAGTGAAAGGGAAGACAGGGTTTCAGATCTTGAAGATGCTGGTGCAGCTAGTGAAAAGGTAAGAAAAGATCTCATAAAAACAATGAAGATGTAGGAAAAAATAATTCATCACTTGCAAGATGATGCAAAGATGAACAATGTGAGACTAATAGGTATCAATGAGAAAGAAGGAGTAAATACAAATGACATTAAAAAATATGGGCAGAAGTAATAGCAGAAAACTTCCCAAATATGAGGAAATAATTTGACATTCAGGTAGCTGAAGCATACAGAATGCCCCATAACCTCAACCCAATTAAAAACACACCAAGATATATAACAGTCAAGATCCCAGAATTCCAGTACAAGAATAATATACTGAAGGGCACTAGAGAAAAGAAGCAGATAACATTCAAAGGAAAACTCATCAGAATTATGGCTGAAGTCTCTTCACAAAACATGAAGGCAAGAAGAGCATGCAGCAGAGTACTTCAAGTACTCTATGAAAGCAAATTCCAGCCCAGACTACTATACCCTGCAAAACTCTCTTTCAAGTTTGATGGAGAAGTGAAATACTTCCATGAAAAAGAACAACTAAAGAATTTCATGATGCTAAAGCCAACCCTACACAGGCTACTGAAAGATGTTCTAGAGAGGGACGAAAATGATCAGAACTGCACGAATGAGATCAGAAGCAACAACTAAATAGGGAAAACAATTACACACAGGAAAAAAAGGAGTAAACATCAACAGGTAAATAACATGTCAATTGTAAGTCAATACATCTCAATTATAACCATCAATGTAAATGGACTCAAAGAGAAATAGACTGGCACAGTGGATTAGGAAACAAAATCCAACAATATGCTGTATACAAGAAACACATTTAACTCATAAAGACATTCATAGACTGAAAGTCAAAGGATGGAAACAATACTACACACCATAGTACCTCAGAAAAAAGCAGGGGTAGCAATCCTAATCTCAGACAGTCTCAACTTCAAACCAACAATGATCAAGCAAAATTAAGATGGCCACTATATATTTGTTAGGAGAAAAATAAAAGGGGAAGAGGTAACACTTATAAATATGTATGCACCAAGCATGGGAGCACCCAACTATATAAAGCAAATCTTAATGGACAAGAAAAATCTAATATCCAATACCACAATCTTAACATGAGAATTTAACAACCCCTTATCCCAAAAAGATAGGTCGACCAGACAAAAACTTAGCAAAGAAATAACAGAACTGAATCAGAGTTTGAAACAAATGGACTTGGTGAACATATACACAGTGTTCCACCCAAATACAGCTGAATGCACATTTTTCTCAGGTGCACATGGGTCATTTTCTAAAATAAACCACATGCTGGTCCATAGGTCATGCTTAAGTATATGCAAGAAAACAGAAATTATACCATGCATATTATCTGACCACAGTGCAATGAAACTGGAAATAAATGACAAAAAAAGCCAGAAAAAAACCTT